GAGCTCCGTAGAGTGCCGACCGTCCCGCTGAAGTCCTCTGCATCATCGGTCATACGCTTAACGACAAGACGCAGATTCTGAACCTGCAAGCTCTGTAGCCCCACCAATCGGATGGGCGACTCACTTCAGCCTGTAAGTCCTCTGAAGTCGCGTCACCCTTGGTGATACCTGAAATCACACAAGTGTCTTCAAGTCCGTGTGAATCACATTACTCACCTTCTTCCCATCGAAATGACTCCCCACCATCAACGCCAAATGCCGAGAAAATACTAGGCGAAAATACCGGGGTCACAACCGGCACACTAATGCTTGGTAATGCGACTGGCGATGGAGCCCCCGCTGCCGCTGCTGAGTCGCTTTGAGGCTTCCAAGCTCGACTGCAGCTTGCCATGAAGTCCTCCAGACGCATACTGGCGGTTTCCGCCCGCTGGAGCTCTCGGTCAGCGTCCACGCCCTGTAGAACCAGGAGCCTCTGACAGTCGTCGAGCCTCTTCGACAATTGAGAGAGACTGAGAGTAGAGTAAAGCATGATGAACGACATGAAAGATATTCCCCACCCTTCATCGCGTTGTCGTTTGACCTTCTGTAATTCAATTCGCAAGCTGAGTATCTGCCGCATCAGAGAGAATAACAAAGATACGAATTCCACTTCGCCCCTTCACCTGGTCGTCTTCTCTGGAGGTGTCAGCTTCCATTGTCGGAAAGCTACTGCGTGATGAGCGCTGTTTGAATAATAGGGGGTATCAGCTGACTGCATGCAAGGGGGTTTCACGTTGCGACGAGCGAACACAGAAACTTCAGTGTATCACAGGAAACCCGTAAAAGCCGGCATACGTTTCGTATCACTCAGAGAGGCAATGCAAGGAGCCACAACACCTCCAGAGAGTGACAGCCACTCTTAGGCCGATGGAAATCTGCAAGCTGCTCGTTCGGGACTTAACGCGTTGCGATGAAAATGTGGCGGTACTATTAGGCGAGCCGATGATGGTCATCATGACCGACCATATCAGCCATGAATGTGACCCAAGTACTGTGATACAACTCAGCGTCTCAAATGGTAGAAAATTTCACTCAGTAGCTTGTGCCACTAGAGGCGTTTCAGCGTCCTCACTCATCGTCACATCAGTCGGCTCTCCATCACCACTCCTAGCCTCAGTCGGCGGACTCCTTGTGCGATAATCCTCTATAGACTTGTCAGAAATGCCTCGTTTAGCAGCTGCTTGTCGTAAGTTGAACCTGAGTACCTACTACGAGACTCCAAAGTGGTTTTCTTAACCTCACTCTAAAACGGCTTTCTGTATGTTAGCTGCAAAACCTGTAGGGCCACAGACCACCTCCACCATTTCCTGCATCCTCTCTCGGGAGTCTACTTCGACCGCCCGCAGGACCTAGGAGGGTCCATAGCTAAGTGAAACCCACCAACAACAATATGCCTACACCAGCTTGAAGATCTATGCGTCCCTCAACGCGT